GGTTGATGAAGGATGAATGTTATAAAAAGATTTTGTTTAAATTTGTGGGATAAAGGAACTCAATGTATAGTATAAAGATACAAGATCAAAATACGCTAAAGAAAGCTAAAGGTGTTAAAAATTCTGTTGTTAAAGATACGATAACTTTCGATTACTATATTACATGTTTGTGTGAAAATACCAGTATAACACGTGAGCAAAAAAATATTAAATCACGCCATCATCAGCTTTTAACGGAAAAAGCAACTAAAATTGCTTTAAGTGCATATGACGACAAACGTTATTTGCGACCGGACCACACAGATACTCTACCATGGGGTCATTTTAGCATAATAGCAATGGAAGCAGCCAATAGGGAAGAGCGATAGAGGGGGGAGCTAATCAGATGAAGGAAGAAGAAGCTAGACGGGTATGCGCAGATGAACAGCTGAGAGTGAAGGGAGAAGCCGCTGCAGATGAGTCGCCGAAAGTGAAGGAGGTAGCATCACAATTAGAGGTGTTGCAGCAGCAAGCAGAGCTCATTTTTCTCGCAAGCAGAGGTGTGAATAAATCTCAAGTTGAACCCCAGAAGCTTTTCAACGGGCCATCGTCTTCCTTGGTACGTGTCTCTACAAGTGAACCATTGAGCAAAAAACGTCGATATTTCTAAAGGTTAGTTAACATACATTACTTGAATAATTTTTACTTACATCATTGTGTTTTTTTAATATTTTTTTCCTTCTGTGATTGTGTTACAGATGGATCTCGCAGCGTTAAACAAAATGGCTAGCAATAATTTTCTACCAACATAAAAAGTTACCGATATGGTTCCAAATCAAAATTAAATGGTAACTAAGTTAAAAAAAGTGAAAACCAAGTATGGAATGAAGATAGTTGCTGAGTTGGCAGATGAGTTCCAAGTTTTTCTGCCAAACAAAATATGTACCGCACTCTAAGAGAATGAAGAATTTTTTAATGAATTATTAGAAGCGGTGAATAAATTTAAATTATTTGTAGTGTACAATGGTGAACATATAATATTCTCTTATGCATAAGTTTGTAAATATTATGGAAAAAAAAATAAATTACATTATTTTTTATAATTGAAGTTTTTATTCATTTGTTCAAATACATCCCTTTTCTTGCTCTTAAAAAAAATATTTGAAAAAAAACTTTTCAAACTTAGCAGATATTTTTTTACAATTTATTCTTTTCAATCCAGCTGTTGTGGACGTTGTCAAAGCCCAACCATTTCACTAAAATTTGATTTCCACGTCTTCGAAGGACCTTCTCTACGAGGTAAACATCAGGATACTTTGTTTTCTGCAATTCTTGCTCGTAAAATCCTCCAGAAATGGTTTGATTTCGGTAATCATTGAGATAATACGTTGTTGGATTTGTTGCTGCTACTCGTGTGATTGTAAATATTTCAGTCGACCAATTTGGTGTATACCCTTTTTCAAATGCTTGTTTGATTTTGCTCACTCGTACTTCATCACCAATTTTGAATTTAGATTTGAACTTACTACTGTTTTCATACATTTTTAAACTTCTTCAAAACTTGAACTTCATTTTCAGCAACAACGTCTTTTGGTTTCAAACCAGTTGTTCGGTGTTTTCTATTATTATAAAATTTAATTATCGTTTGTAACAAATTTAGCTGTTCATAATTGCCTTGCAAACTAAATTTTTTTCACATCAAATCTTTTAAACTACTATTAAATCGTTCGCATATAGAAGCTTTGAGATTGCAATAAGTTGAGTGTAAATTGATTTTATATTTTTGTATGAGATTTTGGAAGTTTTCATTATAGAATTCTTTGCCGCGATCAGTTTGCATGTTTATGGGTACTCGTCTTTTTTTTAGTATTGAATGCATTGCTGCAGTTACAACTTCACCAGTTTTTTTCTTGATAGGTACAGCCCATACGTACTTGAAGGAAACATCTATTACAGTGAGCATATACCGATACCCTTTGTTTTCGCGAGCGTAAGGCTGCATCTCCACAAGGTCTGCTTGCCAAGTTTCATCTAAACCACGAATGTTGAATTTTCGTCGGGGATGATTACGCCTTGCTGTCTTATAAAGTTCCTCATCAATTTGCTCCATGTATTAGTTGTCTAGATTGAAGTTATTTGAATTAGCTTGAAGAAATGGAAATTCTTTTTGTAAGTTGTGTATAAAAATTCTAAAGCTATCTATTTCTGTTTCACGTTTTTTAACCACTCCAACGAAGTAAGAATAATTTACTGCATCTTGAGGCTGTTCTGGTGTTTTAACACTGCACAGTCTTTTATTATTAAAGTCATACTGTCCATCTGCGGTAAGTTTATATCTAACATCAGGAAGACCTCCGCCACCACTTTCGGTCCTACCCAATTTTCGACTGAATACATCGACACTCATTTTGAGACTGAAGAAATATTTACACACATACGTTAATATATATATATATCCTCCCTCGCGAAGCTCTTCAATGATTGATATAATTTCATTGTCATTGCGGACTTTTTAGCTATTAATAAGCGTAAACGATCTACTAATTCATTAGGATCATCCCAGTGTGTATAATCTACTTGTTGCATTATTCGAGCAGTTTTATAATGAGGTAGCAACGATCCACCTTTTTTACGAACCGTGAAATCGAACATTCGTATAGCTCCGTTTTTTTGAACCCTTTTCTGTGAACATTTGAAATTTTTAATAATACGTAGTATTTTTCTAAATCCTCCTGCGTCAACAGAGATTCATTACGATGCTTTTTGATGAGTAGCTCCATTAATTCCGGAGTCATTGGATACTTTAAATCATCTATTTTAATATGTTTATTTTCGAATTCTATTCGCAAATCGCCAAATTTGTACAACTTATTTTCTTTTCGCACTCCATACTTTAAATCTAATAAATCTTTCTGATTCTGATCAAGTATTTGTAAATAAAAATTATTTGATAAATTTTTACTGACTTGAACAGAATCATGAGATTGTTGTTAAATAGTATTATTTAAATCAGTATCATCATCATCACTTTTACTAACAGCAAACTCGAATGTTAAATCATGATTTTTCTCTGTTTTTTTTTTGATGATTCACTTTATCAACTTTATTACTTTCTTCATCGTTTTTGTTATAAAAATAATTGTGAGTAACAGAATTATTACTATCATTTTTTTGCGTTTTTTTGTTTCGGCAACAATTTCCATTAAAGGATCTGTTATTGGTTTGAAAGTTTCACTAAGTACTTTTTCGGCCTCATTTTTCCCAAACTTCATCAGTCTGTACTTTTCTTTAACCGCCTCTTGCGCCTTCACTAACTGGCATAGAACGTCTTTCTCTTGTTGATACATGATGATGATCTAATGTCTTGCAACAGACTGTAACGAGTACGCTAGGTATGTCCTAAATGTACGGCAAAATTATCAAAGCCTTTTCTGTAGCGACCATTATTTATTTGTCTATCCTTGTTTATAACGACGAATCCACGTTTATTATCATTCCAGCAATTAGAGCATAAATTTTTTAATTGAATGTATGACATGTCTGAGTTTACATGATCATCATACACATGCTTCAAATTAACTTCATCTTGACGAAATAAGACTAGAAAATTGACAGTATCTCTTACAAGATGCTTTGGTACTTGAGCATATGACTGGCAAAGATAGAAACAGTCTAAATTTTTGTGTCTACCCATGCAGAAAAAAGCCTTTACATTATCTCATTTTTCACAAGCTACATCATAAAAAATCATTATAGAATTTGGTAAAGCATCATCTGGTGAGACTACGGTTTCGTGGTCGCTGAAATGCTGGTTGGCTTGGCGTTGGAGAAGAAGAAGATGATAGTCTTACTAATAATAACGGCTACTTTGATATTATACTTCCACTGAATATGATTTTGGGTTTTGCTGAAGACTATCGTAAGATAGTTGTTAATGTAAAACATAAGCTTATACTTACAAGAGCAAGAAACGATATAAATGCCGTGTTGCAATTTCCAGTTAATGCCAATGCTGCTGATCCGGCGGCTGCAGCAACTTGGGAAGACTTTAAAATAGTAATATTAAAGCTTGAGTGGCTCATGCCCTATGTAGTAAAGTCAGATTCTCATAAAATTCGTTTATTAAATTATCTACAAAAAGATAAGTTTATATCTATGAGTTTTCAAACTTGAGAATTATATGAGTACCCCCTTTTACCCAGCACATCAAAACATATTTGGACAGTTAAGACATCTAATCAGTTAGAAAAGCCACGTTATGTTATTTTAGCCTTTCAGACAAACAGAAAAAATCAAAAAAAACGTAAGCGCTAGCATGTTTGATCACTGCAATATAAGGAATGTAAAACTTTATTTAAATTCACAATATTATACTTATGATGATTTTAATCTCGATATAACACGTAATTAGTATGCATTGTTATATAATATGTATGCTAATTTTCAAAATTCATATTATGGCAAAAATATCGTTCAGTATAGTCCAATGAGTGGGGATGTCAAGAAACTCATGTAAAAGATATATAAAGCCAATTCATGGCTGTGCTAGCGTCAGTTCAGTTTCAACAGTTCTGAATAAAGGCCAATTCACGGCTCTGCTAGTCTCAGTTCAGTTTCAACTATTATAAATAAAGGTCGGAGCAACAGCTGGAGTAAAGAAGAAGCAGAAAATAAGCGACGACAAAAGAGTGGGAAAAATTTATGAAAAAAAAAGAAGATAAAAAGTTGGAGAAAAATGTTGAAAAAAATTATACAAAAAAAAATCAGAAGATAAGAACAAAGATTGTGTAATTTGTTAAGAAAGCTCTACATTACTTAATATGTCGCATAAGCCGAGTCAAAGCAATTTTACAACTAACGTTAAGTATCAAAAAATTTCGACTAAGGATGACGATGACAGAAGCAAGAAATCTTGGCTGAAAAACTTCGTCGATAAGTATTCAACCAACAAAGGGTCTTCTCCTCAAAGTCAAGGGTATGAAAAGCTGAACAAAAATTAAAAAAAATTGTAATAAAGTAAAATGGAATATTTTGTGGATATGCAAGGTTTTAAGAAACCAGGTAATGATTACGTGCTCAAATATTGGCTATCCTTCCTCTCAATGCTAATGATACGGAGGCACAAGTATTTCTTTTTAAAGCACCTTTTACCTGGCGTAAATTACCGCAAAAGTATAAACATAAAAATTTATACCTTGAACATTGCTATTACGGACTAACATGGGACTCAGGAAAAATTGAGTATACAGAGATTGGAAACATTTTACGGAAAAATCTTGAAAATGCTGTAAAAGTATTTGTTATTAAAGAACTGAAACAAAAGTGGCTTAAAAGATTTGACTTTAAAGTCACTAAAATGACCGACTATCCACCGTTTGAACTCCCAAGATTGGTCACCGCTTGTTCTCATCACAACGGAGCCTATAATTCAATGTGTGCTCTTCATAATGTTAAGCGTATGAAAAAGTTCTATTTAAATATGGAATGGATTAACGTTGATGATGATGATATTGACGAGACGTTGTAAGTATTAATATACTGCAGCTGTAAAATGAGGTGTATATATATATCTTGCGGACACAGTTTTGTACATTAATGTAGTAATTTTTTTATGACAAATAAACTATTTGTAAAAATGAAACTCAAAATGTGTCAAGATTAATTTTTTTCATATCCCATAATGATCTTTATACTTAAATTACTACCTTACCTAAACCTAATAATTTAGTACATGGGAAAAAGGCAGTCTTGATGTGAGTTAAATCTCCTACAAGCTTAAACAGAGTACCTTAACCAGCCAGATGCATTCGAATACGAGAGTTTTTTTAAACTAAAGCTGTGTGCGCACAAAATTTAGAGCATTATATAAAGGGGGGGGGGGTATATTTCAGCTAACCTTGCTATGGAATCCATTCCTTAAATCATCCACGACTGCGAAGCATATCGTTCAAACTTTAAAGGATGGAATATATTGTAGACATTTAGAGTTTCAAAACCTGTGACAACAAATTTATTTTTAAAGAAATTTCGTATGTTGAACTTGGAAAAAAAAATTCCATACCTATTGTAATTGTACTCAAGCCACCTTCTGCGTGGGAAAATTTATCATTTCGGGACAGAAGGCAAAATCAATGGTTGATAACCAATTTACATGGCATTAGCTGGAATTATGGCAATGTTTCTAATGAAGGAGGACTTAGAGTTTTTAAAAACGAGCTGGTTGACGCTGTAAAGGTGTACGTTAAGGGCCTCGAGAAAAAAAAATATCTTCAAGAGATAATACCATGCAGGTAATATTATTTTTTAATATAAAATATAAAATAATCGAGTTGGTTACTTATATTTCCTACCATTTAGAGTCATTAATATCGAGGAGTATGAATGTCCAGCCCTAGAAAAACTTACCAAGGACTATTTGCCATGTCGATTCCACAGCTTCAGTATTAACTCTTCATGTGCCATAAGAAATATCCAGGCAATAAAAGATTGGATGCTGCAGGATAATGTGTTAAATATTATGTACAAAGCAGTTTTTTGCAATTAAAATATACTAATATTTAAGAAAAAACCTTCTAAATCGACTGTATTTTCAATAAACAATTTTTCATTTTAATTTTCTACTGAAAATTTCTTTATCCGAAAAACCTTGTCTACAGCATTAGCATAAAGCATAAACATCTTATACAAAAACTTCCTGTAACCAATCAAGCATCGCATAGTTGCTTGTGGTATTAAAATAATGCGCTCACTGATAAAAGCGGCTATGAAAGAGATGAGCTTCATCTTCCACAAAACTCAAGCAGCGCGCCGATCATACCAATAACCCACAAAACTCAAGCAGCGCGCCAATATACCAAGTGGCGCGCGCAGATAAAATAAAGCCGTGCAAGAGAGCTCCATCTCCCGCAAACCAAAACTCAAGCAGTGCGCCAATATACCAAGTGGTGCGCGCAGATAAAATAAAGCCGTGCAAGAGAGCTCCATCTCCCGCAAACCAAAACTCAAGCAGTGCGCCAATATACCAAGTGGCGCGCGCAGATAAAATAAAGCCGTGCAAGAGAGCTCCAACTCCCGCAAACCAAAACTCAAGCAGCGCGCCAATATACCAAGCGCCGCGAGCAGAGAAGTCTGCAGGAAAGGGGAAGTGTGCTAAAGTTGCCATGGCGATTGTAGCACAGGTATGCTAAAGTCACCCTTGTTTATCTACTGTTACATATGTGTTAAAGAATGATATTCAATCTCCAGAAAATTAATCCATGATTAAATAAACGTGAGAATAAAAGCAAAGATTGCGTATACGATTGTGAAATTATTAATGGGCAAAATATTTATAACTTAATTAAATTTTTTTTACGTTACTGTACATATTCATCAATCATATAAATTTATATTTTTAGTGTAGATGTAATTACATAAATTATACATATTCAAGTTGTGAGAATGATAATTTTATAGAGTAGTTTCGATAATTGACATTAAATATTGGGACTCACGTTATCATTACTCGAAAATTCACTTTATACATGGAAAAACTCAGTTTTTAGCGGTATTTAGCTGTACAACTTTTGACATTCATTTGACGAAAAATATATGACCGGACATAAAAACATCTTTAAGTAGCTGTGCAATATTCAAAACAAAGTTTTTTTTGAGGAAACTCAGCACATTGGGAACCGACATAGGTATACATGAATGTAAGAGCTGCGAGATACATCGAGTGCCAAGAGCTAAGAACTCAGGCAGGAGGCACGAGGCAGCCAAGATATATGTAGCCATGGTACAACAAACAAGGTAGGCCCATGCGCATATTTACACGACCAAACCAATCAAAGAAGGAGCCTGTATGACGTCATAATCACTGCTAAATTTAAATTGTATATATATGCATCTTACGCATGGGTTGGTTCGATGTGTGAGCGTCTGCTGATTTATCTCTACGTACACATCAGACGCTACTATCTTCTTCTCTCAACTACTCCCTTGGGTAGATGGAAGGAGCATGCACCGAAAAAATATTACCTGCATTGGTATCTAACTACGCAAATGAACGACTCGTATACTTTTATTACTTACAAAGTAGTTGTAGTACCTTATTCTTGTTCACTTATAAGTAAATATTTGTAGGGGACTTACTGCTCGGTGCACGAACTGTATTACATTATACTAGAGACTGGCTGGTAAACGTGGAAGGGGCTCGCGCACACAAGTAAGGTAGTGTAAACTGCTCCGTCTAAGCTTGTATTGGTGTGCTCGACCCCCGCCCTATTAATTCCGGATCTTCGGGGCTCTCTGGCGATCGCGCCGCTGTGTTCGCGCCGGGTTAAGGGTCGGCTTTCGTGGGCTCTCGAAGAAGGTCGGAAAGCTCCTACCAGCAGCCAGGCTCTCGTAGTTCAGTTGAAAAGTCGGCCATCGAACACAGAACGAAGAAAACTAGATCTTTCCACGCAGACGGAAGTTTGTCAACAGTTTTCGTTCCCCGCTGTATCAAGGAAGCTTGTTAATCAAACTCGTCATCGAGCAGT